GGGGAAAAAAATGGGTAAAAATTCAGCAATAAATTATCTCATTCTGAAGCAGTCAAATTGGTATTAAAAGCATGGGAAAGATGTGACCTTCTCACCTGTTCTCAGCCTGTGACTTAGCACAATAACCAAATCTGTAATAAAAATCAAGAGCTTCCGAAGAAAGAAGAAGTTGCAAAATGTTGTAGTTAGTAGCAGGTCAGCAAGAAGAAGTAGCAAAATATTATAGTTAGTATCATGCCACAGCTGACCCAGGATCATGTGTGTATGCATGTCCACAATCTTAGAATCAGAGCTTGTTGGATGTTGAAAATTGCTAGTCATGATCCCAAGAATTGGACCACCTATAAGTGAGGAGCTGTCATGCATTTCTCAGTCTTAGTTACAGGATATAATGAATTATAGACATATGTCCTATGTGGACGACATCTGTGCAGCCCAAACCAAAAGCTGCAGGTGACAAAGCAGGTAGGCATAGATCAAAAGAAAAGGCTGTTTAGATAGTTAGGAGTAAAGAACATAGGCTAAAGAGGTAAGTTGAAGGCGAGTTCAGGGGTAAGTTTCAAGAATGAAAAAAAACAAACGATCTGAGTGTCAAAGCATGAGAGAAAAAAGTTGGAGAGCCAAGGTTCAGGGCAAGAGGCTTTAGATAAACATAAGTTGTAATGATTAGGATTCTGAGGAACCTCTTACCACTTGTTAGCTGCCTGACATTGAGTTTATCTCACAGTCAGTAATTGCTGATTTAAACAAGGACGCAAAAATTAAGTATCTCTTCTAATATCTTCCTAGACAGAAATTCCCACATTTAGACTGAAATTGTATTTAAAATTTCTTTCCATTCTACTTATTCCTAACACACTTATATTTGAGCTTAAAGTATAGTGTTTTCAAAAGAAAATTGCCCTGGTTTTTAAATGTCTAAACATGTAACATTTTGCCAGGATTATCTGCTACCTCTCAGTAAACACACAAACATCAGTTATGTAGTCAATTCTTTTTCCTCTTTACCAACACAGAATATGACTTCCTAGAGATTAATCATTCTTCTATCATTCAAGTTTAGAAGGTTGGGGGGAAATGCTGATGTGGTCTATATCATCTTTACGTTGAATTTTTGTGAACATTCCTGGTGTCATTCAGATTAAGTAAACACATGCATGAATCATGCTGTTCAGAGAAAGCATTGTCACCCTATAAAAGGGCAGCCATTAGAGAGTAGACGCAGAAACCAATAGGAGAAGAAGGTGTTTTCCTGAGGTAAAAACCGTGAGAATGAAGCATCTTACTATCCTCGTGCTGTTATATCTGCCAGTCTGTTCGGCTTATCCCCTGAATGGAGAAGCAATGAAGGACTCAAACAGGAATCTTGTCCAGGTACTTGCTTAACAATGGCGGCAGCCATTCTAGCCACTGGCCAGCCGGAGTGGGGAAAAACATATGCCTGCTTAATGTTGCAACACAAAATGGTATGATTTGATTAGAGATTACTGTGATGCCATAATTTAGCATCAGACAATATTCAAGTGCTGGAGGTGGAAAATCCTTTCGTTGTCACAGAGAAGGAAAGAAAGGCAAAGGAAGAGGATAGAATTACTCGAGGTTATACAATAAAATAGTAGCAGCAATTTGGGACAAATGTAAAATGCATGAAACTTGCCTTGCTTTAGAATTTTTTTAGTTAAAATAATCAGGGAGGAAGAACCTGCTCGTTTTGATCTTCAAATAATATCAGGTAATAATGCCCATATGTTACTTGTCATGTTGAAACAAAAACATTTATTCCACTTTAATACTGAACCTGGTTTATATTAACAAAGTGGGAAAAGGTATATATTGTATAGTCACCTAAATTCTCCACACAAGAATGTCAAGGAGGGATTCTTTTCCTTTAAGCAGGCTGGACCTGAATTTTTAATATCAAAATCTTTACTTGGCTAAGAAACTAAATTGCAATGAATTTAAATTTTAGTATGAAGATATAATAATTAAATGGAAGTCTTAATAAAAAATCATATTAAGTGTAATAACTACTCTTGTTTCAAAAAACTAGGTAAGAAATGAAATAGATTGTGATATTTGGGTAAATGGATGAAAATAATAAAAAAATGACCTTAAAACTGTATTTATTATCCCCTTAGAAATATCTAGAAAACTACTACAACCTCTCAAAAGATAAGACATTCTTTGCTAGAAGGCAGGGCAGTAATCCTGTTGTCAAAAAAATCCAAGAAATGCAGAAGTTCCTGGGCTTGAAGGTCACAGGGAGGCTGGACTCTGACACTCTGGAGGTGATGCGCAAGCCCAGGTGTGGAGTTCCTGACGTGGGTCACTTCAGTACCTTTCCTGGCATGCCAAGGTGGAGGAAAACTCACCTTACATACAGGTAATGGGTCCCAAGAGGTTTCCACATAACACTGAGATTT